TGCTGGACCATCAATGTCTGATGACTAATTCATCAGGAAATTCATATGAGAATGAGTCCTGATAAATGGTCTTTTACCATTCTCGTGTATGCTATGACCCATGTACTGTATTCCCCAGAGAGCTTTTGTCAGGCACTTGTAATGTGCTTCATCCTAAAGTAGAAACAGCAAATTGGAGCCAGGTAAGACATAGACTCTGCCGTCAAGTCTCAGTCTGAGAATGAAAAATTTCTGGAAAGCCTTATGCAACATTTCCTAGAGAACACTAATAGTATCTTTTCCAGCACTGTAAATCTTGATGATGAAAGCGAAACTCTTACCCAAAGGGCTAGCTTTTTTCTTTCATTGTTTATTTATTCTTGTTCCCATAAAACACTATGCCTTAACTTTCTCTGTGCAAGATGACTTCATCTATAACTATCTCCATTCATAAACCCTCATTGAGGATCTGCTCTCTGCAAGGCACTGAGCTAGATACATAGGGGTACAGAAGCTTAATGGAAGCATAGTCTTTTTTAAAAGTCCCAGCAAATGATCAGTTTTCAAACTATACAGTTATTTTTAATGAGTACTTTTTAATGTGGGGTTCTTGGAATAGAAGACAAAAATGCCTCTGTGATCAAATCCTCATTTGTCAGACTAGGATCTTAAAGTCTCCAGATTCTCTCTCCAACCTCATATCTGTCTTGAGCTTTCTTTTTCCTTTACCTCAGTCAAGCCAGCTTGCTTGCCAGTCTGTACACAACTAACTCTTGCTTCTATGCTTTTGCTTGACTGATTCTTCTGCTTCCAAGAGTTCTTTCTCCTCAGCCCATGTCCATCATTGCAACTGCAACCTGGCACTGCATCTGTCTCCTGCAAGGAGCCTGTGAACAGCATGCCCATGTGACATGTACACAGGCAGTCTGAGCTTCAGGGTGACAGTGCTGTGGTCTTCATTGCAGCTTCCCGTTCTGTGTTCACATCGTGCTGACTTAGGTACAGCAAACAGATCTTCATAAATGGAACGGTCCATTATAACCAGGTCATTTCCCAGACCTTGTCTAAGTGAGTCTCTGTCACAAAGATTTCATTTTGGGTCTGAGGGTCAGTCGTTGATCACAGCGTGGAAGTTTAGAACTGTTGAAACGGGGGTGTTGAGCGGCCTGGAGTGCCCAGTGAAATGATTACCTCGCTGTAAGTGATCTTTGCTCCTTCTGCTCTCAGGCAGTCAGGAAAAGGTTTTTTAAACTGATTTCCAATACAAAGAGAGTGTACAGACAAACTGCCAAGCGAGGGAAAGCAGAGCCTGCCTGTTAATCATCTCAAGCCTGTGTATTTGCTGTTCTGTGATTCGTTGAATATTGTTTAATATGTGTGTCTGTTTTTATATTTTGAACTGACCAAATGCTTCTTGAGGACAGGGATCATGTCTTTTATTTGCTTCTGCATATTCTTTCCCCACCTCTTCCCTGAGCGCCCTAATAAGCCTGGGAAAGCCTTCTTTAAGCACCGAGGGACAGGAAATGCATCTTGTGGGTTCGGCTACATTCTAGCCTTTGTACTTTCTATGTATGATGACAGCACAGGGAGGTGGGTGTTCCTGTCTCAATTCCACAGGAAAGGAAATTGAAATCTGGAACATTCAGGGCCTTCCTGCTAGTGAGTAGCCGAGATCTAGGATTAGATAACAGGCCCGTCTCCCAAAATCTATACATAGCACCTTTCACAGTACCACACTAGTAGTATTCAGAACTCTAGAACTCACATAACGATTTCGCCTATATTCCCATTCCTTGCTTCATCATTAAGTAGGTAGAGCTAGTATTATCACTGTCCCCGTTTCACAGACGGGGAAACAGAGACTCACAGGCTTGCCCAAGATCACAGAGCTGGTAAGTTGAAAGCCAGGACCACACATGGACTTCCTGACTCCGGGTTCTTCTTTGTTTCCCTGTATCACACTGCTGCCTTAATTCATTTGCACAATTACATGCTTATGTGACCATTTAGCACTTACACTTTTCCTCCAGGAATGTTAGTAAGGCCAAGCTTTCCCTGAAGCCATGGGGGAGAGAACAGAATTCACCCCACCAGTGGGCCTCCACATTAATAAGGGGTGTTGCAAAAGACAAAAGGAAAAGCTTGACAGGACCGTACATAATAGAAAGCCCTGACACTCCCCATTACCCTTTTGTAGATTTTTTCTTGTATTGTTTGGGGCCACACCTGGTACATGCCTTCTATGTGGCTGACTCAGGTTCAATCCCCAGTACAGCATATGCTGGCAGGGGTGGGGGAACAGGGTCAGAGACCAGAGTTACGTCATCTAACATATACCAGAGTGACCCCTGAGTACTGGGCCAGGAGTAGCCCCTGAACACTGCTGGGTATACCCCCAAACACCCTCCCCAGATAAAATGCGTGGGTTTTTTATTCCATAGATGAAATCCTCCTATATCTTGCCACAAAACTTTTGTTACCTGCTTATTACATTTCCAGTATTCCACTGTAAAATCAAACTAGGGAGTAGGGATGAAAGCAGCAGATTTGGCTTTAAAACAGTTTGGGCTTTGGGTGAGAGACTGCTAGCTTCCTTTCCAGTCTGGTAGATAGCCCCAGTATCACCGTTAAGGAAAGAGCAGTGGAGTTAGTGATGGTCTGCATCCAGCCAGAAATTCATCCCTGTCTTGGTGGAATAGCCCTTGTCCATCAGGTGGGCCTCTGCTACCTGTCCCTGCCCTCAGCCCTACCCAGCCTAACTGGACTGAGTCTCCTGGCCCCCGTACACCCCTGGCCTTCCTCACCCCTAGTGTTTGATTCCCAGTAGGAATTTGATTCCCTCTTCTCCTTTTGCATCAGCTGTTAGTAAACAGGGTCTTTTTGCAGCAGCAGTTGGATCTGGGAAACTGCATAAAAGTGTTGCTGTGTAGTGTGTAGAAAGAGCTTTGAGGGAAACCTTGCCCTTGCTCTCCACTGAACATGACTACCAGGCTGTCAGGTCAGGCCAGCTCTCACCCTGGTAGAAGGTGAGGTCTCCCCACCCCCTGCCCTTCCCGTGGGTCGTGGGTCGCAGATCACAGATCGCTCTGCCTTGTCGGCCGCTGCCCAGTTCAGCTCTCTAGCTCCTCTCACTGCGCTGCTGTGACATTGCAGGAACTTGTCTGGGCCCTTGTCCCCTTGTTCCAGTGCATCTCCCACACAGCCACCAGAGCCACTGAGTGGGATCCTCAGTAGGTGAGACCCGAGCTCCTTACATTGGCGTGGAAGACAGCAGGCCACCCAACACACTTGCAGCCCACCTTCCTGCCACTCCGTCTCTGCCCCGCAAGGCCTGTCACAGCCTCATGGAGCACGGCAAGAAAAGAGAAACAGACTTGGGAGGTGGGCAGGTGACACAAGCAGAGGGACTGCACAAGCCCCGTCCTCGGCATCTTTGCCTGGCGTCAGCCATCTCACTTGGTGCTGCCTCGGCTTCCCCCAGCAGCTGTGTCCGTGCTCAGCTCAGGAGCACCCCCGTCTAGCATGTACCCCATTATAGTGTTGCCATGTTTGTCTCACTCGAGGGTAGCAGCCGGGCCCGGCCTCCTCTGGCATTTAGTTACGGACACACTCAGCAGCCAGAGGCAGCACGTGCTGCAGAGGGCATGGCTGGCACTCAGGACCTCTGTCCCAGGCCCAGCTCTGCCACTAGGATGTGACCTTTGTACGCCACTTCGGCTCCTTAACTAAACAGGGGGGGCAGAACCAAGTGATCCCTAAGGTCCCTGCACCTCTAAGTTCTCTCATAGGAGCCCCATTTCTTGGATATGGAAACCAGTGTTCTACTTAATAACATGCAGGAGCCTCAGCTGAGTCAGTCAGCCATCCACATTACTCCAAGAGGTATTTTGGATTCTCAGAAAGAATCTTCTGGTGCTTGACTGGGTGCCAGTATGCTTGTTCCCACCCCCCCACCCCAGGCCTCTTCTAAGGCCTCCCCAGGACACTCCCAGCACCTCTAACCCACAGCTGCTCTAGCCCTGCCCAGGAGGGAGCGTTTCTTTGTGCAGGCAGAGAGGTGGTTTGCCGTTACCCACCGCCACGAACCCCACTCGTCAGGGTGCTTGGTCCGCTTTCGGGGAGTGCTGCCCATTTCTGGGCCAGTGAGTCTGCAGCGCTCTCGGAGCTCTTCTGAAGGGGCATTTTGGGGGTGGAGGGAGGATGGAAGCAGCGGCTCAACTGGTACGTTGGCCATAATCTCCATGTAATAAATAAGAACCTATGAAAAGATTAAATCTTTCCTAAGGCTTTTTGATTGGCTTAATCAATAATTAATCATCTTTAGATGAGGCTGTAACTTGTGGAGTAGATATAATTGGATTAGCTGGAAGAGGCAGTGGGGAGCTTTGAAGAGATTAAAATGGCTGTCAGTCCCGTAATTAAACTGCCACAAACAAAAGCAATAGTAGTGGTTTTCTTTTCTTTTAAAGAGGAAAGAGCAAGAGAAGGAAAGAAAAGGGAGGGTGGTTGGGGAAGGCCAACCAATTTGAAATGAATCTGTAAATCCTTCTCTGCCACTAGGAACTGGGGAGGCAAAATTCAACCTGACTGACTGGTGTGTTGATATGTGCGGGTACCGCATCTCACCAAACCAGGGTTTGGCGGGAGCCTGGCCCAGGGGGACAGGTGAAATGTTGGCAGCTCCACCTTTATGTTTGAAAACAAAACTAATCCATAAACGGGGTGGGGTTTAATTACGACAAGCAGGAGAGACCTGCTCCTTGTCCTGAGCCCATTTAGACCTTGACTTTTCATAGTTTTAATTGGCTTAGGAGGTTTGGCCCGTGTGAATGAAGTCTTTTATCTCCTCTTTTTCTTTCCGTGTGCCTTTCATCTTTCCCATTTTAAACAGAGAGGGCTTGAGGGAAAACACTTCGGTTTTTAAAGACTTTCCTTTTAAAGGCTGCGGATCGGGTGGAGGCGGGGTATGTATGTGATGCTGGTGAATTCTTTTCTCTCTCTCTTTTATCTCTTTCTAGAGAGGAGTTGCTTAAGCCAATGGGACTAAAACCTGACGGGACAATAACGCCTTTGGAGGAAGCACTCAGTCAGTACTCTGTCATCGAAGAGACCAGCTCCGACACAGACTGAAACATCACCTGCTCAACTCTCAATATTGCTTTTATCAGCATCTTTTCTCTGTAGCTCCAGGGGAATCTTTTCTCTACAACATTTATGCCCTTGCTTTGGCTAGAAACACATTAACTGGTTTACTCGTTGAGAATCCAGCATATTTACGAGGTGATCCTGTGTTTTTGCGATTCTGAGGCATTCGTGCAGAGCTGCAGTTAGAGTTGCAGAGGCGAGTCGCCCGGGGGAGAAATCATTCCGTTTCACCGGGATGGAACCCAAGGACTTTCCATGCAGCAGTCTTGGCTCAGTCTGGCCATCTGTTCGCTCCGATTCTTAGAAGATTCCTCCATGTCCGTCCTCACTGGCATGAGCTGCCCCTCACAGCTCTGCCAGGCAGACAGAGCGAGGCATGGGAGACGCAAAGGGAGTCGCTAAGGGCTGAGGCAAGCGCGGTGTTAAATCAGGACTGACGAAATGGAAGCCAAGCAGCTGCTCCGTCATCCCGCCCTAGTCTCACTTGGGTTTTGTAAAAATACACACACACACACACACACACACACACACACACACACAGAGCCCCAGAGTGGCAAACTCATCACACCTAAGAGGTTAGTTAGTCACTTACTAGAACTTCAGAATACATTTCTCCCCATGAAGAGTAATAAGTGATGGTTTGGTTCTGAGGCAGCTATAGATGCCTATTTATTCCCCACTCACCTGAACACTAGTACCATGGAACTGAGCCCCATCTGTCTGTGGCCCGGGGAACATGCATTCTGAGGTCCTGGAGCCCTCCGGGACGGGAGCTTCTCTGTGGCCTCTGCCAGGTGCGGAGAGCTAGCCGCCCGCTCTGGACGTGGAGGTCACCATGCATCATGTGTCAGCTGGGGACTGTGTGTGCTTGTGTGTGTTCTACCTTCCTACCGTATGTGATCAGTTTAACAGTAACTTTATTTATTTAAAAAAAAAAAACCACGTAGTTACTGTTAAATTGATTAAAGCTGTTTATTTTTACTCCTAGAATTGGTCATACGAAGAAGTAGAAATTGAATCATGCAATAGACAGTGGACCTAGTTAATCAGTGGCTAAAGTTGAAAGGGGTTGGTTTCCTTTTATATCCATATATGTATGTGGGTATATGTCTGCATATACACAGGTGCAGACATATACCCACATAGATAACGTGCTTAACCACTGCCTTTTAAAACTTTAAATAAAACATTGGGGTTGATTCAATTTAGCCATCTGTGTGTGCTTCTTTATAGACATGAGGTAAACAATACTGTCTCATAAGTTATGCTTTTTAAAAGTGCTTTAACATCCATTATTCTCACTTATAATAAACCTTTTTAAAGATAGGGAAAACACATGGAAATTAGAGAGAAGCTATTTATCCAGAAGTCATTTCTGGCAAAAAAAAATAATAATAATAAATCAGGAATAGAATTTTTAAGAGGCCTTTTAGCCGCCAAAAGAGATATCTAAATATCTTGCAACTTACTATAGGCGAGATCCTCAAGAATCTCACTTTTTGCCTTTTTACCTAAATTTGCGTACATTTCTAATGTTTAGTACCTAACTCCTCGCCCCCACCCACCCCCAAACAATGGCCCCAGAGAGAGTGCAGGGGACAGGCAGGCCCCGCCGGCACAGCTGGACAGAACAGGAGCACAGCCCCTCAGGCCCAGGACTATCTCCTGCAGGTGGCCCAGAGGTGACATTCTCATAATGACCCCCTTCCTTGCTTCCAAAACAGAAACTAAATCCAGAATTCTCTACCAAAGGAGAGGAAGGGCCCCGCATCATCCAGGATTCTCGGTTCCGAGACCTGGCGTCGGGGCTGTGGGCGCCCCTGTTCGAACAGAATAAAGTCTGGTAATTCGTGATTTTAGATTTAAGTGAAAACGTTTAGAAAAAAATAAATAAAAGAAGTATTTTTGTTACTTCATTCTACAAATGCATTTTTTAAGTATTTTTATAATTTCTACGGTCAGATCACTTTGGCATGCGTGTTAGCTTCCTTAGTGGAGACTTTGTTGCGTGCAGCGCCCGCCTTCCCCGCCTGAGGCCTGAGTGTCCCGGCCGCGTCCGTGTCTGTGTGCTTCTTCTGTGTCCGCTGAGCTCTGTCTGAGGGGCCACCGTGCTTTTCCCTGCCACCGGGAGAGCCGGTGGGGGAAAGATGAGCACACCCTCACCGTGCCGCTGTCTGCGTCTCTTGTCTCCTGTCACCGCAGCGCATCTCGTCCTAAAGGCCCTTTCTGGGAGCGCCACCACCCCCACCCCCGCCGCCCGCCCCCCCCCCCCCCCACAGGGGCCGCCTGGAACAGCAAGGCTGGGAGAATGGTACTTCTCAGGCCATTTTAAGCAATAATTCTTTCAGCAGAAGCGGTTTGAAGAACTTTCAGGGGTGACCTGAAGTGGAAGCAGGACTGGAAAACGTGTGTGGCCAGTACGGGTGTCAATCAAACACGGGCCTAGAGGCCTCGAGGTCCCAGGCCCAGGCAGTGGCTCGGAGGCTCCCGCGGGCATTAGGAGAATCACTGACCAGCCCCTCGGCCCCCCTCCCCCCCAGCCCTCCTGGGCCCCGACATGGGGTGAGCAGGCACGTCGCAAAATGGAGCACCTGAGCTGCTGCTTTAGAACAAGAGGCAAAAAGACTTGGGGGCCCGGCACACCCCAGTGGTCAGTCCTGGGAGGCGGGCAGGACACGAGTCATCTCCGTGATGAACGGCGCAAACACTAACCCTTCCCTCCCTGCCACATCGGCCTCCGCCCGCCCCTCTGCCCCCTGTATCGACGGCCTTTTCTCCCAATTATAAGAGTAATATATGTTTGTTGTGGAAGTTTGGAAAAAATGCAGTAATAGTTAATGCATCCAAATCCCACCCCCTGAGATAATCACTGTCGATGTTTTAGTGTGTTTCTGTCCTGTATTTTTTCTATGCATATATAATTTATTTTACTACAAGATTGGGATCATACTGTATTTACAGATTTGTATCCTGCTTTCTTTAACATTGTGAGCATTTTCCCATGTCAATAAATATTCTTCAAAAACGAATGGCTACCTTCCCTTAGATGACTCCTGGTCAACACTGCGAACTGCCTCCTCCTGTCTTCCTTGCTGACAGACCCCCAGAAGCCAGGGACCCTCGGTGGCCTCTCTGCTGAGGATGGGTGCTTGCTGCCCCAAAAGGCATTTCTGGGCAGTACCACACCTTGTCAGCACTAAAAAACCTCTCTGCCTTAAAGCACCAGGCTTGCAGTCCTCGACTGAGCAAAAGGGAACACAGTTCCATTGAGAGCTGTTTATTAACAAGGTGCTAAGCACTGCCCAGCCAGGTCACCCCCACCCACACTGATCCACGCGGGCCCCACTTTCCTGGGCTGACCTGGGTCTGGTGCTCTGGGCTTGATGGAGAGGGCGGCTTGGCTGGGGGGATGTGGGGGGGGGGGGGGGGCGCAGGACTAAGAAGCCGCAGATCTCTCCTCCCTCTGTGGATGGCAATTAGCATAACTTAAGGGGTGGGGGGTGCAGCTCTCTGGAACCCCTTTCTGTGCTTTGGGGCCCAGTGATGGCCAAGTGACCCATATTTAAAAAGCATTTACAATAAAATGATGCACTTTCCTTTGTGCCATTGGCTTTCCCCGTGAAAAGCAGAAATGCTTGAAAATTGTCCCTTTTTGTTGGCAGTAATGGCTGTGCATGATGGCAGCGTGCCCCCCTGGCGGGCTCCGAAAGAAAAGGGTAATAAAGGGCACAGCTGTGGACACTTTCTGGCCTGGTGGGGGGAGAGAATCTGGGGGGTGATGGGGGGGGCACACAAGAACCAGATTGACTGTGTGTCAACAAATGCAGCTGGGAAAAGAGAAGGTTCTTTACAGCTCCGCAACTTAAAGTCCAAGATAAATGATGGTCCTATTTGGAAAGGGAGAGGAGAGACAGGGGTGACATTCAATCAAGTCGGGCTGAAAAGCCAGGCTTCCAAAGGCCTTCTGCAGCTAGGCAGCTCCTCGGAGAAACGAGCAGAAGTAGCCACAGGCCGGGGGGGGGGGGGGGGGGGGGGGTTAGGTGGAGGGGGCGGGGACAAAGAGCAAGGCCCGAGGTGTGGGGGGTGGTCCAGGGAGCGCCCCAGGTAGGGAGTGGGAATGGTCTGAATAGGAGGCCGTGTGTCGGGGGGGGGGGGGGGGGGGGGGGGGGGGGAAAGGCCAAAATACAGTCAGGATCTTCAGGAGTCTGGTTGAGTCTTGAGCTGGGAAAAATGAGGGGGAATAGGAGAGTCGTGGAGTCCTGAATGGCTGGACCAGCTTTGGCGGGAGGGCTGGCCCTTCCTCTCTGTGGCCTCTGCCATCCATCCATTTCTCCTCCTGGCTCTCACATGCACACATGCCCTGCCAGGCAAGCCTCCCTGAATGCCCCCAGCCCACCCGACACCTGTCGCTGAGGAAACTCAGGTTCTGGGAGGGCAAGTAAAGTGTTCATCCACGGCCAGGATCCTTCCAGAGGCTTCTGGAATGCAACGTCCACCCCCTGAGAGGTCCTGCCTGTTCTTTTCAACAAACGTGAAGTGGTGGCCGCTGTGCAGAGAGGGACGTTCTTCCCTCTCTGTTCTTCCATCCCACAGAAGCTTCTCAACCCTGGAAGGGCCCGGGGAGCCAGAGCCCCTTCTTCAGGCAGCTGCCATGGTGGAACAGGGCAGGACTGTGCTCCGCTCCATCTCTGTCATCATGGCCCTTTGCTGTCCAGGCCCATCACTTGCCATGGCCTCTCCCTGCCATGTCAGTGGATTCCGTGTACTCGGGAGCCATAGGGAACAAAAACAACTCCGGACTCAACGAGATCCTGGGTGAAATGGGGCCACCATAGTGTGGTAGGTGCCAGGAAGGCTGGTACAGACCACTGGGATGCCGAGGCCTACTAGCTTCCCGGCGACAGGAACTGGGGTCCACCCCCATCCACAGAGGCCATCATTCACAGCAGGGCAAGATGTGGCACTGCTGGGGTGCACAGTCTGTCGAAAAGAAGACATGGGGGGGATGGCATTTCCTTGGTCCCTGCTGTCCCCAATGCTGCTGGGATGAACCACATGAGGGCAAAATGCCGGGAGCACAGGACAGCCAGGAGTGCGTCTGCTGGGTTCTGTTGTTCTATTAGGATGTTGATAAGGAAGAAAAATCAGATCAGAGCTGGCTGACACAGGTGAAACACACGCCACTGGACAACCTGCTTTCCTGAGGCTTTGCTTCAAGTCTCCGTTTCCAGGAACCTAGAGGCTGGGCCTCTTCCTATGTGACTCACTAGCTGTTCAATAGTGAACATCCCTCAGCTTTTGGCTTTTGGCTCACACAGACTTGCTGGTTTCTTGTGTATTTTCCAGAGGGCTTCAGGCATCAGATTTCCCCAACTCCCTCAGTTCACGTTCTTTTTGTTTTGGGATCATGCCCTTGTGATGCTCAGGGGTTACTCCTGGTTCTGCACTCAGGGACCACTCCTGGTGATGCTTGGAGGACTATATGGGATGCGAGGGATCAAACCCGACCCCCTGTACTATCTCTCTTGCCCTCAGTTTAATATTCTTTTAATTCTCCTAAGTCACCTGCTTTTTTTTTTTCATTTGCTTATTTGGGCCGTACCCAGCAGTGCTCAAGGGCTTATCCTGGTTCTGTGCTCAGGATCACATCTGGCAGGCTCTGGGGACCATATGAGGTGCCAGGGATTGAACCTGGGTCAGAAGTGTCCAAGACAAACTCCTCCCTACTGGCTGTACTACCTCTCTGGCCTCTCAGTTCAGCTTCTAACCATTTCTTTCACCAATCAACATCCTTTGATTCCAAGGTCATTTTCCTGCCCTGCATCTCCACGTGGCATCTTCAGCAGGTGGCCAGTCCTCTATGCAGCATGTCCATAATCTGACGGCCACGGTCCGCAGACTCATGCTCAGTACGCAGATGTTCATACCCATCAGGTTCTGCAATTCCACCCACGACTCTATAAGGGGGGCTGTTTTCCTCAGATAATAGCTAAGGAAATGAAATACTTAGAGAAGCTGAGTACATAATGCATGGAAGTGGGAGAACTGATACCGTGTTTTGTCTTTCTCGGGGAGTTAGTTTTTCAGGTCTTCCCAATGCTGGAGATGACACACTCCCTAGTACCATTTCCATTTAATTTTTAAGCACCTGACATTCAACTCATTGAGGCTGGAGCACGTATTTCATATGCAGTGGCCCTGAGT